ACTACAAAAATCATCGAATGTTATGATTTCTGAAGCCACTAGAACTTTGGTACAGCAAAATAATGACTTAGCAGTGTGCCAGAGGCTAATAGAATAAAACCTACATGTTCAAAGTTTTAAGTTACACTCATAGCATTAGACAAAACAAATATCCATGTGGAAGACAGACAGAACAAGCATGCTTAGCTTAAAAATGACAATAATATTACATAAGGGTAAATTATGGAGAGATAGTACAGCACTTCAGAGCTCTTATTAGAACTCTATCTACTTGTAACATAATAACTAAAGCAGGATATTTTCTTTTCCTTTATTTTGAATATAGCTAGAATCTTTTACAAAAAGGCTATAGACACAAAAGCAGAATTTGGAACATGTATGTTGGTAATGTATTATGTAGAATCGAACTGGTTTCTTTGAAAGAAATACAAGATGATATACAGATTGAAATAGAGCTCATACTTTTTTAGCAATGAGATACATTAAACATCTTTAATCAAATATAGTGATCTTACGGGGTCAGACTGTCCATTGGTAGTTTTCAATACCGTTACTAAAATCAGTGGGTTGATGCTCTTACACTGCTTAATGAAACAAGTGGTTCAAATTTTCTACTCATGGTTAGGTTGTGCTAACAGTATCTGTTTAGAAAAGGGAACATACGTTAGAAGCCATGTTTTGTTACATAGCCTCTGTTCAGTTTCACAGGAACCCTAGGAGTTACTCAAGGTTTAAAAGTCCCATACAAGGAGAAGTCACTAAGGTAGTTAATAATATTCAGTTAATAATATACTGCAGACTCCTAACTTGTTCTTTCTGGATACTTTCATTTCCATATTACCAGAATTTCTCTCAATGAGCATGTGGAGCCAAAAACTATCTGGAAACAAAAACAAGGTAAATATATACAATTACCTAGCTAGACAGACAGAGCTTTGATGTACCAACAGACAAAAAGATAGCAACCACTGTTAAGTAAAGAATCCATTTGGTTGAGGTCAGATGAGCTGGTTTCTACAGACTTTACTAATGAGCCTTAAAGAGTGTCCGTTGAAAGATAATAATATTTCTCATAGCTTCTTGGAAAAGAAAGGAAGCAGTAAGCCAAATTTAAGCCACTCAGTCCAAAGAGGAGTCCTCTGTATATTTTTTTCCCCAAATGACGACACCCTTTTAAAATAGGCCTATTGTATTGGTGCTAATGTTTGTTTCTTTTGTTAATGATCTTCTCTTCATGTATGAGACTAGAAAATATCTCAGTTACAGACTGCTGGTATAAATGAGTCTAAAGAAATGCTACTCCATGAAAAGTTCATCAAGTGAAATTCTTGAGAATATTGTACTCATTATACAGAAAGTGAAAGGTTTAGAAATATCCCAAATTTTGAGGACAATAATAAATGTTATTTAAAAGATTTTATTAGCTTTGAAGCATTTGGGGTTTAAGTATCTTTATTAACACAATTCTAAGGGAATAAAATCTGCATGATATATACAAATGATGAGGAAATACCTTCCATCAATCTAGTTACAAAAGTTCTAACACTTTATCCTACCTGAAAATGAAAGCTTTGGCCTTCTCCATGTTCTGTTCTATTGAACAGTATGATTTAGTCAACATTTAACTCTTATTTCTCTCCATGGATCCTGTTCAACAGTGCCATTTTGGTAAGGCTGTATTAGAAATCTATATATCCAACAATAATGTCAATCAGTTCTACATTATAAGACAAGCAGCTTCATGGTTTTATAAAGCATTGAGACACCTGAAATTATACTCTATATCCCTTTTCAGGTTTAATAATTTAACACTCTTCTCCAGAAATAATCTGATTTCACCTTGATTAAAGATCAAGGAAAAAATATAGCTCATGGTGAATTCTTAGACAATCTTTGTATATATATATGCATATATATTGGCATCTTTAAAAATGATAAAAAATTTTCCCCATAATATGCAAACACACTAGGCTTCTTTACAATGTAAAACTTGCCAGTATAAACTGAAGGATAAACTCTCACTTTGGCTAACACCAGCTCACAGATCTTTTCAGAGAGTTATTACATGTACTTAAGCAAACTACAGACTTGGAATATTAGTTCTTTGTAGTTTGAGTTTTAAAATGTAACTCTGAAACTCAATGGATGAGAAGTTTTGCTCAAGATTTTTTGGAGACGTACAGGAGGAAATCATATAGATACGCTTTTTGTTTGTTTTTTGTTTTTTTGTTTGTTTGTTTTTTTGGGGGTCCGGTCATGGGGCCTGAACTCTGGGCCTGGGCGCTGTCCCTCAGCTCTTCAGCTCAAGGCTAGTGCTCTACCACTTGAGACACAGCGCCACTTCTGGCTTTTTTCTTTTTGCTTATGTGGCGCTGAGGAATCGAAACCAGGGCCTCATGCATGCAAGGCAGGCGCTCTACCACTGAGCCACCTTCCCAGCCCCAGAGATCCCTTTTTAAGCTAGTAGATTTGCAGAACAGTGAATGACTTTATTTATTGAGTACAAGCTTCTGAGTGATGTTCTCTCTCTAGTGACGCACAGCATTCAGTGCACGAATCTGCTTCCCTCTCCACTGATGGGATGATACAGAGACATCAGCAACTTTGTTGACTTCCAGAAGATTCAATTTACAGCTTAAACAATTTTGTATTGTGACCGTTATTATCTTTTAATGTAGTTATGCCCTGCTTTCTGGTCAAGCTTGTCTTTCTTATATAGGGAGAAAGAGTGAGTTGGTTTAAGCTTACATAGTTCATCCTTTTCTATTCAGGTTGGGGAAAAAATTATAGTAGAACCATTACACTGATACAACTATATGGAATGACCCATCTGGTAAAAAAAAAAGAGCAGGTAAAATTCTTATTTTAGAAAATGCTAGCTTTGAATATTTTTTGGTTGTTTTGCAGCCTGATAACTAATATTTTAAAATGCTGACAAATTGGCTAGAGTGGTAACTTATACAGGTTTTAAAATCTTATCTAGAGACTCACAAATTCAAATCCCAGCATCTGGAATTTTCTCTGTGATTCCTGACTTGTGGCCATCATCGGACCCAGACACATTTGCCTTGGCTATTTTTGAAAATATTTTTCACACATTTGCCTTGGCTATTTTTGAAAATATTTTTCAGGGGCTAGGAATGTGACTTGGTCGTAGAATGCTTGCCTAATATGTATGAAGCCCTGGGTTTGGTTTTTTTTTAAAAAAATAATAAAACCAAAAAATAAAACTGTTTTTCAAAAGCCCATTCTTTTCTTCCATTCAGCCTTGTTACGTCTAATGACAATGAAGTCAGGTCTGTACTGTGAGAAGTCAGGAAAATCTCCAAATCCCAATCAAGTTTTTACATCCTTTGCTGATGATATCAGAAAATGATTTGCTGTGATGGTGTCTGTACAAGACCATCCTAAATGCAAGATAGGAAGAAATGAGCTTTGTGGCTAGAGACAAATTTGGTCACAGACCTGTGTGAGGCCCGTGTGTGACCATGCTGTAAACGTCAAGTCTGTGTAAACACTATAGGAATGAATTCTGTATCAGAAAAGAGTTTCATGAACAATTTAAATATTTCTTTTAAATATTAATGGATTTGGGACATCATCAGCCACAGGACACATCCTGGCTAAAAATCCATGCTGTGGTGGAAAGAAAGGCATGGTCGGTCTTAGACACGGTCTGTATGCTCACAGCACCAAGTCAGTTTGGAATTGTAAAGTGAATTATGCCAAGCTACAAATCCTAAAAGAATTGGAGATGGGATTTTTTTTAACCATGATTACAGAGAATAGGAGATCAGGTGCCAAATTGTACAGTCAAAACATTTTTAGATCAAGTATTTATTTACAAATAGAATAATATTTTAATCTTTTTGTCAGTTATAAATTCCATTTCTCTTCAGATTCTAGTAACTGTTATTCTTACAGGCAGAGTTCTATAATTGTGAGTGTCATCAACTTTTACTATGTGCTACAACTATCAAATAATGATCTCAAAATAGATCCTGAAAATTACTCACTAGATAATTGGCAATGACAGTATCTTGTTATGAGTAAATCAATCTCATCACTGGAAAAATGAACAGAAACTGAAAAACATATCCAAACAATTATCTTTAACATTTAATGAAGGCTAATCATTCCCTACTATGGACAGACAGGAGACATCATAATTTGGATCCAAAGAAATTGATTTAAAAAATGATCATCAAATTTTGCCACAGTAACAGTGACAATGTTTTTACTCACTCTCTTTCCAGTAGGAACACCTTAAATATTATCCAATAGTTTTCTATTTTTGTGGCACAAATATTAAAATTGTGAAAAGTATTTGACAAAAAAAAACACTATTGGAGAGATTACCCAACTGTGATCAATCTAGGAAGCTGGCATGGTTGGTGCTATAGAAATTGGAGGGGCTGAGCAGTTTACTGAGAAATACACTGGGGGCCAATCCCAGAAACAGCTTCCAAATGTTTTCATTCCTGGCATATTTCTGGGTCTAGCCTACCCCAAGAATGTTATAAACAGTATTCCCCTTGGATTGGTGTTTTTCTGAAACTGATTCAATACCAGATGGAGGTTGGTAGGGGAAGAGGGCACTGGGATTATAGAGTTTCCAGTGTTGTAATTAAAGATAGATAGATGATAGATAGATAGATAGATATACACTACGTATGGAAAAATGATATAATTTAAAATTTTATAGAAAGAGGAGTAATTATGTCAAAATGATATGTTTGCCATCAAAAGAGAAAACCTGAGGTACATTGCCATTGTTATTGATAAAGTGGATGGGTATTTTAAAATGGTATTTTGAGCTGGGCTACTCAGGAGGCTGAGATCTGAGGATCATGGGTAGGAAAGTCCATGAGACTCTTACCTCCAATTAATCACAGAAAAGGCTGGAAGTGGCACTCTGGCTCAATTAGTAGAGCACTAGCCTTGAGGAAAATGGAGCTCAAGGACAGTGCCTAAACCCAGAATTCAAGCCCCAGGACTGGAAAAAATAAAATAAAATGGCATTTAGAGATGAATGGCTTATGTGTTTCAGAAAATGAGATTAAAAACATTAATGAAATGGCAGTTGTCACAGTGATAACAATAGACCAATGAAGATGCTTTTATGATAATTTTTAGAAAGAAAAATGAAGGCAGCTTTATATGAAAAAAATAAACTGATGACCAGTTTTGGTGAGAAAAAATAAAGCTCTATCTCTACCCAGCCCTCAAATATAGCTCAACTAAAGGTATTTCCCTTTGACAAAATAAAAATATCTTGTAATAGAGAATGAGGTATTGCCCATTTTAATGACATTAAGAGTCACAGTGACCACAAAATTCATTTATCATTATTCTGAAGTTGTTGGTTTTGCAAAGTGATACACCTGCATTTTGAATTGGGTATGAGCTGGGACAAATATAGACATTCTAGTGCTTTTGTAAAATAAAAGAAAACCCATAACTACCAGTAACTTTTTTTGTTTCATGTCACCAGGAAGTTTAACCTTAAAAAATTTAAGGTTCTATAAGTTTTCTTGGTTATCTTTTAAAGTGATGGCTTATTTTTCTTTGTGACTATTAATAAACATTTGCTAAGGAAAAACAAAATGTGAATCTGAATGCCTCCCAAATCAATTCCCAAATTTTGTTTAAAATGGAAACCTCTTAATAATGGAAATTCTCTTAACTCCAAATGTTAATGTCAGCTTTTAATTGGCTGGAGTTGAATTTGGCCAAGTAACTCTTGCAGATATCTGTAAACTATCCAAATGCCATGTTCCCATATTTTATTTTACTTCTGGGCCATTATTCTTGTACTTTGCTATTCACAGTCCTGTTCCTACCGCTGTGCCATTTATTAAAAATAAAAAATGGCATCATTACACAATCTCCTGCATCTTAGAAGTCTGACATTCACCCACTTATAACCTTATCAGTAACTTAATCATTCCACTGCAGTTTGTTGCATGGGCACAATAATGTTATTCTTAATGAATTACGTGGAATTCTTCATTGTGTATCCATTTTTAGCTAACATTTCCCCCAATGATTCATACTCTGTGTAAGTCCAATTTTTTAAAAATTGTGTTCTCCTCATGGTGACCCATATAAACTCACTGATATTTCTTCTGGTATGCTTTCATATAAACTCAGATTCTTTACCTTAAAAAAAAAGAGCATCACCTGGAGAAACCTTTGATTTTTGTTTGGAAGGGATCCAGAAGAGTTGATCAATTTGTTTGACTCTTCTGGTTTCTTAAAACAAATGGTCTGGCAGGAAAGAGAAAGACATACCCTTATGCATGGTCTACTCAATAACGATTTCTTGGGTGTCATTGTTTGGGGCAGTAATATCTGGGAAGGGTTCTTGGTTGTAAGTCCCTAAGTACTCTAGCAGGCACATTTCCTCTCCACTGTCTTTTCTCCATCCAGCTTTCCAGAATTTCCACCATTGACAGCATCTGGGACTTGTGTCTTCTCCACACACTGCTCCATTCGCTTCATTATTAAGTCCAGAAGAGTTTCCACTGACTTCTCCACGTTCTGTCCAGTTGCTGCACTTGTTTCAAAATATGGTATTCTAGCATAGAAAAGATTTAAAGAAAAACCATATTCTCAAAATTTGAACTTGACAAATAAAATTAAACACATGTATCAGCTATCCTATTTGGAGATGCACATGCATAATGGAATGGATATATCTAGCTACTTAACAAACACATTACATCATAAGGTTATCATTTTTGTGAATATCTACTTCTTTTGAGTTTTTTCAAGAATTACAGCTCATCATCTCTACGCACCATTATTGTGCTGTACACAGATTGCTTGAATTTATTGTGTTCTTGACAAATGCTGAAAGTGGATGCTAAGAGTTATTACATAGAAATTTTACAGACAGATATAACAGGAAGAAATCAGACAAAGATAAACAAGATGTAAAAATGAATGACATGAAAAGCACACAGCTGGTGGCAAGATGGTGAAGTCATCTTTTGCTGTTGTTGTTTTGTTTTTTTGCTGGATAAGTTGAAAACAATCTTATTATTTTTCTCAATGAGTAAAAAAAAATGTGTGGGTGACTCTTTTATGGCAAGGAGAGCACTACAGGAAACAGGAAGTTGAAGCCTACATTTGAACCTTATTGAAAAGAAAAAATATAAAATAACAGGAGGGAAAAAAATCTCACCAATGATTCATATACCATTGATAATTTTTATTTCTTTCTAATAAGCAATTCAGAAACATGATTTAGAACCTAGATATACACCAAAGAGAATATTGATATAAATATAGTCCATATGTATTTGGAATTTAAAATTCCAAGAAGACATAAATTTCTCTGAATGAGAAATCTTAAAAAAATTGGCAGATATAAACTTAAAAATTTAAATGATAAAGACAAATTGTATCTTGGTTAACTCATAACAGTCCAGCTACACTGAGGGGTTACATTATCCAGGCACACAGTTTTATTCTTTTTTTTTTTTTTTACAGTAAAAGCAGGAGTTATACTGTGGGGGAGGGACATACAAAGCAACAAAGAAATAATCTTATCAATGCGTTAGAAACAATTGTATGAAAGAAAAAAAACATTTGAATACATATCTTAGGGTTCATTTCCCTAACATCACCTTATCTGACCTTTTCTGCTTGACTCAGACATATACAAGATGAGACTCCCTTATAGAGATTATTGAAAGGCAGAAGCCTATAGAGTTTAAGAACATGAACTATGGTCTTAGACTCCCAGAGTTGAATTTAATCTCTACTTAAATATGGCCTTCTATCAGGTATTTAATATCTGTGTGAATGAGGCTTCGTACAGAAAATTGGGTATCTAGTGTTTAACACAAAGCTATGCAAAGTGAGGTGAATAAAAGTCTAAGGGCAATTTGTAACTGCTAGCACATGATAAGGATACAGTCAATGTCAGGTGCCAGTATGAAGTAATTTATTGGCATACTACATATTTCTCTGGAAGATGGCTTTAAGTTGCTGCCTGTTCTTCCTCTGAGGGGGTTTCCTCCACTCTCCCTCTCATACCCCTTGCTTCAGCCATGAGACAGCAGTCCACAAGGTCAGAGTTCTCAGTGGGACCCACTTACCCGTACTTCTCAGCCAGTTCCCGTGCTTGCCGCTCATTGACTTCCCTCTGGTCTGGCAGGTCTGCCTTGTTGCCAATTAATACTATATCTGGATTTTCACAGTAAGCATTTGCTTGCAGTTGGCCTTGGAAAGAAAACAGATGGAATCAGCAAGCCAGTGACAAACAAGGGATGGTAAGTGACTGCTCATACTCCAGATTCCTAAATGAATTGTTCGTCAGCAGTCTAGTTGCTTGCTAGTAACGACTGGCCAGTTTGCTTACTCTCTGCAGTCACAGCTTCTTCATTTATTAAATGAAGATGATGCATGATGAGTGATGGAATGCGAAGATATATGAGAGACCCAAATCAACACCTATCCGTGTTCACCTACAGCAGGAAACCCTCTCTTAGCCCCACCAACTGTATCATACTGGCTGTTCCTCAGAATGAAGCAGAGATAACAGGCATCATTGTAAAGCACGTACACTTTGCTTGTTCCATTAAGAGGCTGCTAGCTCTCTTAATTAATTAATCAGTTAATTACTTGGGATAAGTCTCACTCTGTAATCTAGGCTGGCCTCAAACTGGCTCCTCCTAAGTTTTGAAATTTTAGGCTTATGTAGAAACACTGGGAACCTAGATTTCTCTCTTCTGATATCAAGAGTGATGGTCTATGGAAAGGAACATTTTTGAACAACTGTTTTGTGTAGAAACAATTTTAAGGTAGATATTTTGCTTATATAAGAAATACTCTGTGTGTGTGTGTGTGTGTGTGTGTGTGAAAGAGACAAGGGAGAAAGATACAGAGACAGAAAGTAAAAGACAATCAGAAACAGGAAAGGAAGAGTCAGAAACAGAGGAAAGGAAGTTAGGGAGAAAGGAAAGAAGGATGGGAGGAAGGAAAGGAGGGAAGAAGGAAGGGAAGAGGGATAGAGAGGGAGGGAAGGTGGAAGAAGTGAGAATAGAAGAAGGAAGAAAGAAACAGGAAGAGAAAGGGGAAAGAAAGAAAGGAAAATAGGACCCAATAACCTGTGTTTTTAAAGTTCCGAGGCTACTTTAATGTCTACCTTCAGGCATACTGTGCAAACCTTGTCAACATTAGATGAAGAATACAAAGACTAACCCTGACACATCAATGATTTTAGGGTTAGAAAATTCAAGTGTTATTAAACTTAGTTATTAATTGCCTTAAATTCCAACAATATCTTTCTGGAGAAATCAACACAGGGGAGTCACATGTGCCTTGAAAAAAATAAACAAACCATTCTCTGAAAGAACTTCCTAATCTTATCACTTCCCTGTCTCCTCAGAAGCTAATACTTTCCCCCGAATTTAGGGAAGGGCATACAATATTAAAAGGAAATAAAGGTCGATTCTATGATAAACACTTATTTGGAGAAGTATGTAAGAAAGACAAACTTGGTTAATACTTTCCCCATTGGTTGTCACTGCATTATTGAACTCATATTGTACACAATGAGTTTATATATTATATGTGATTATTTTTGCATATATGTGCTTTGAATATCCACTCAGTAGCAAGTATTCATCAAGATCCAAAATAATATGTGGAACAAAATAGAGAAAAATCTTCACTTTCATAGAGCCTGTTTTCTGGTGGTAGAAAGAGTCCAATACCCAATTTAACTCAAAAGCATGTACTGCACAGACAAGGTGTGGCAGGACCATGTGAACTATAAAACGTGTTGAGGCAAGCCCTCAGAGTGATAAGAGATGCTCTGCTAGATGGGTCAGAAAAGCCTGTCTCAAGGGATAAGTATGCTTTTGACAAAAGTGTGGGAAGTAAAGCACTAGCACCCGCTTGAACATGGCAAAAGAGAAATGAAGACAGAGGCAATAAATAGTGCAAAGACCCTAAGGCAGGGGTGGTGTCTGTCCCTTGGGAGTATGGTCAGCTGGTGGCCAGTGAGATGAAATCAGAGTAAATATAGTAAAAGCAAATAGAAAAGGCTGGGTGCAGGTGGCTCACAGCTGTAATCCTAGTTACTTAGGAGAATGAGATCTGAGGATCCTGGTTTAAAGCCAGCCAGGGAAGAAAAGTCCATGAGACTCTAATCTCCAATTAACCAGCAAAAAGCCAGAAGCAGAGCTGTGGCTCAAGTGGGATAGCACTAGCCTGGAATGAAAAGCTAAGTAGGACTCCCAGGCTCTGAGTTCAAGCTCCAGTCTCAGCATAAAAGAAGTAAAGAGAGAAGTAACCAAGTTATCAAGTGGCCCAAGAAGTGGTTCAAGGCTTAGGACCCTGGATTTTATTCCAGATTCAGTGGGAAGTCAAAGATGAACTCTAAGCATAGGGTATAAGATGATCCAGCTTTTTAAAAGATTTTTTTTACTCCTTTGTACAACTACTCAAGTAAAAATATAAAAATAAATTACACTGGCCACAGATAGACCTAACCAATCTGGGAATGACAAAAATAGCACCTGCCCCATGAGGCAATTGATCTTTGCTGTTATTGTTCATTCCACTGGGATCAAACATCTTATTAATAACGAAGTGTGAATGAAATATTCCTTTGAATGCTACAGCAATTTAAAAAAGGTTGTCTTTAGCTGGGCACCAGTTGCTCACACCTATAATCCCAGCTACTCAGGCTCTGAGATCTGAGGATTGAGATTCAAAACCAGCCCAGGTAGGAACGTCCACGAGACTCTTATCTCCAATTAACCACCAGAAAACCATAAGTAGCACTGTGACACAAGTGGTAGAGCATTAGCCTTGAACTGAAGGGCTCAGGGATAGCACCCAGGCCCAGAGTTCAAGCCCCATGACTGACAAAAACAAAATTCTCCTGTTTTGAAACCTATCCATTTTCCTGCAATAATTGATTAGGTGACACTGAGATGCTGTGCTCTATGTAAGTAGCCATGGAGGCTGAATATCTTTCCATTCAAGATATCTTCATGTTTAAATCATTTGTGATCGAAGTAAAGTCCTATGTGAACTGACTGGGTCAGTTCACTGTGCCACCTCATCTTGTGGCTGTGCTGCCGGGTGGGCTCTCTGGTCTAGTGAACCCATCTGCCCTCATAATCAAGCACATCTTGGATATCAGCATCCCCTCTCATAAAAACACTGCTGACTTTCTCTGGGCCCTATCCACATTTGACATTAATGCTCATTTACCCGTAGGAAGTCCTCTAAGACATATTGGACAAGTAGATTCAGTGGCTTTTCATAACAGTAATGAAGACCCTAACTACAGTTGCTAAGGAAGGGACATAGCCTCCTTCTAAAGAAGAGTGCCAGAGGAGGAAGAATGAATTCCAAGCTGCCATAGGCCATACAACGGCCACCACTCTGAGATTCACATAAGAGACAGCAGGCTCTTTCTCTCCCAGAATTCATAGAGGTGCCCTATCCGGCTACCTCTCACAAGGCAAACACGCCAAAGGGCCGCTTGATGCCTAGGCGGCCGATACACGTTACTCAGCCCACTTACTCATCCAGTTTCTGACATTTAAGAAGCTCTGTTGATTGGTGAGGTCAAACATTAATAAGAAGCCCATGGCATCTCTGAAGAATGCGGTGGTGAGGCTCCGGAACCTGCCAACGAAGCACAGAGGGAGGGTCGTGCTGAGAGTCAGTGCACACGCATAGGCTCACTATACAAACAATGCCATCTGCAGGTACAAGGTATCCGTGGTTGACCATCATCCCACAGACAGGGCAGTGAGAGGGAAGGCAACTGATCAGACAACCGATTTGGTCAAAGAGTTGTTTTGTGTTTTTTTTTTTAACACCACCTCCTGATCCATAGCATTGACACACTCACTGTACAGAGTTGGTAGCACCTGATCACACAATTCCTTACACAGTCCATAGGAGCTTCTTTGTCTGTTTGATTCACAAACATCCTGTGGTCCACAATGTAAACAGAAGCCATTTGAGGGCCGGGTGCCCATGGCTCACGCCTGTAATCCTAGCTACACAGGAGGCTGAGATCTGAGGATCATGGTTCGAAGCCAGCCCAGGCAAGAAAGTCCTTGAGACTCTTTATCTCCACTTAACTACCACAAAAGCTGAAGTAGAGCTGGGAATCCAGTGGTAGAGCATTAACCTTGAGCAAAAAAGCTCAGGGACAGCACCCAGACCCTGAGTTCAAGCCCCAGAACAACAAACATATACACACGAAACAAGAAAAACACCATTTTAGAGTAGAGATTTTAACTTCTACTTTTCAGTGTTTCTTGTCTGTACCCAGAAGAAAACTTGGCTCGAGGTAGCCTGAAGATGAATGTTTGTGATTGCAGGAGGAAAACCACATCTTGGGATTCTGTTGGAGAGAAAGACGTTGGTGAGCAAATTCTTTTCAAGATATTCTTTTCGGATAAAATTGAGCTGCAGGCTGGCCTGCAGGAACATGGTGATGTGTAAGTGTTTGGAAGAAGATTAGGACCAAAGATGGCTTGGTGATTGTGGGGAAAAAGTGAGAATATACCTGCTTGTGGGAGGGTGGTGAAGAATGTGATATTTCGTCTGCAATATGAACGTGTTCTCTCCTGGACATCTCCCCGCTTCCCCTCCCTGCATCTCAAGGGAAGCTGACGAAGTGCTGAGATCCCCTTGAACATTAACAGTGGGCTGTATGTACTCAGGGGCCAGTGGCACAGAAGGCTTTGCAATTGACTGGGTTTTCACGAAGGCACGTAGATTTGAGATAGAACAGTATATTTCCTATCCTGAATGTCCTCCTAATTTTTGGACTCCGTCTATTTTGTAGCTCTTCCTGTTGGCTTTCTCAAGGTTCTATTCATGACCTCTATGTGACTCATTACATAACTTCATTTGCTCAATGATAGGATACATGTTGGGTAGCCCCAGATTTGTAGATCTAGACCTTTATCTTTTGATGTGTTGTGTTCTGCACCAGTGTGCTTAATTACTTGCCTAATTACCTGGAAGAAACTCAGAAACCCTCAAAGTCATACATCCAAATACAAAGTGGCCCCTCTTCCTCCTCTCCCTCTTCCTCCTCTCCCTCCCTCGTCCTCCTCCAATCAGATCTCCTCTCCTTTTACCTGCTGTGTACCATCAACCCACACTTCTTGACTCATTTCTGTCCATCTACCCTGTTACTATGCTAGTTGCAGACCCATTATCTCCCACTTAGGTAACTCCCAATAGCTTTCTTACTGGGCTTCCTTCCTAAGTCCAATTTTGTCAGCCTCACCCTTTCTTCCTGTTGATTCTATCAACACTACTCACATTCTAAGTATTCGCAGGGCTCTTACATTTCTTATGAAGCAGTCCAGACTCTGAGGGAACTGATCCTTGATTGTCTTGTCTATTCAACAGCATCTTCTGGTTGGCCACAGGCATGCTGAACTTCTCTTAGTTCTTGGAAAGTTCACTGTCCTACCCCAGGTGTCCCTCTCATGTGCAGGTATTTCTGTGGCCATCTTCATATTGATGAGTCCTCTTCCTCCAATTTCTCCTCTAGTTTTACATCATTCGCCCATACACTTCTGTGCCTCAATGTAAACAGAGTCACAGCGGAGGAAGTTCACGCCCCCCCAGGCCTCCTCCTTATGGGCTCACTTCCTGTCTTTTGTTCCCCTGTTCATAATGCGCTAAGGCTGCGCTGCAGTTGATTATTTGTTCAGTGTCTATCCTAGCCTCCAAGTGGAAAAGTGTTATGTTCTGAATTTGCTATGCGTTATATTTTCATAGCCCAGGACATGTGATGCACTTACAGAATATTTCTTGAAATGAAAGACAGTAAGAGGTAGTGACTGGTAAATATTTTTTAAAATATTAAAGATTTAAATTACTCCAAGGGATAATTAATTATAGTCTGGATACCAAAAAAAACAGTGAAAAAGAGATAATTTAACTTATTCCCAATGTAGGATTTCTTTTATAGGGCATTGACTATGATCTAAGTAATAAAGACCAAGAAATGTCTTCACGTTTTTTCTTCTGGATTGGTTTCTGCCATTGCCGGGGTAGGGGGCACAGAAATTGCAGTGATTTTACAGAAATAGTTCTCTCTTCAGAGACTAGCTGTACCCACAAAACTGTCTCCTTCTCAACTATAATAGTGATGTGGCTAAGAATTGTTCTTTGTTTTCTTTCTCTCCTCTCTTTTCTTTCTCTTTCTCTCCTTTTCCTTTGCTCCTGCCCCTCCTCTTTTTTTCTGATTTGAGAACAATAGCATATTATTTCCTTCTCATTTCCTACAACACATCACAAAATCACTCCAAAATACGCTGTTAAGGTTATCTGTTGGGGACAAACACATTTTCTTTCCTTCATGGCAACATGGATAGGACATTCATATGTGTAGTAGGCTTCATCTGCCCAGTATCCTTGTTTCCACCCCCCCCTTCCTCTCAAGGGGAAGAGGGATTGATGCCCAGTTCCTCTCCCACCCCTCCCCGTCACATTCTGTCCACTGAACAAGCAAAGGGGAGGAAAAGCTGGGAGCACATGAAGAAAGCAGTCACCTTGTTGCTCTTTCTCCCCCACTGGACACCAAGGCCTGCCCTGTATCTTTAGGTTTACTTAAGGATTATGTGTTTCACCTCTTGCCTATGACGTCAGTGCTATCCAAGAGTCACTTCACCTAACATGAGCTCCACGACCAGACGTTTTGAGGCCTAGGGCTGAGGTGCAAACCACTGTTCATCTTGTTGCTTAGCTACACCATAGATATATAGATATAGATATAGAGAGAGGGATAGATATATGGATATAGATATAAATGAATATAGATATCAATATACCATATATACATAGATATAGATATAAATGAAGAATTACATATATATATATATAAATATATATACATATATATTCAGGGATGAATAACCCACATGTTATGTTATTCAAGCCTCCCCAGTCCTCTCCATCTCCCTCCCCCCCAATATCACAGCTGTCTTAAGGGGACAGATGAGAGAAGTCTGCCATCATGCTAGGCTGACATAGCATGTGTGAGGACATATGGGAACCACATTTTCTCCTATTACTTCTTCAAAAATGTATTAAATTGGTCTCTAAAACACACGTCTTTGTGACAACAAAACTGACACATGAACAGAGACTCTTGTGAGGAAAGACTTAGAAGACCCAGCAGTGTTGAAGGGTGTGTGCAAATGGAATTCACAGTCAAAAGAGCTCACAGAGAGGGCCCCGCGCCTCTCCTGGCATTTACACTCACTGACAGTGAGAACATTTTGGATGCATTTCAAAATCAGAAGTGTTTACAAGCATAAGCATTTCCTGACATATGATGTAGAATTTGGAGGTGTGTGCCTACTAAAGAACACTGCTGCCAATCTATTGCTGGGTTGTTGTTTTTTTAGATTTAGTTTCATATGAAAAAGCTTTATTAGCTTTGGGTCTTTCTTTAGCAAGTAAAAAACTGTAGATCCTCATGACATATATCTTTAGAACATAATGGAATAAAAACCCCTGGCTTCAAGCAGCCCATACTAGTGCATACTAAGTATCTGTTATTTCAGACAAGGCAGCAGAGATGATGTTGTCAAACCAGCCAGCCAAGGGCTCTGCCTAAATCCAGCTCACAATTTTGTTAGGAGAAGATTCCAAGTGAATTAATGCAGAGCATTGAGATAAAAACAGATGTAAATTATTGCAAGTAATATATAAATGATTGAGTGACTTTAGGCTAGTAGAATAGAGGGTCACAAGTATCCAGAAATAATTTGTTTCAATGAGGATGTTCAGACAGGGATGTTCAGGAAGTAAAAGTGGAGCCCAGCCTTCTGAAGGTTAAAAAAAAAAAGGGTGTTGAGGATTCAAGATGGAAAATTATGGCATTGGGGCCGGTTGGGGTGGGGTGGGGGGTGAACAAAGCCAATCACCCAGCAGCAAAGAAAAGACAAGAAGGTTTTAGCACCCAATTCTTCAACTTCCTCTTTGAATGCCACTCATAGTGGTTAATTTCTCATCTTCAATCAAGTAAATCTGAAGGTATTTCTAGTTACTAGATCTAGGGTATTCAAAGGCAGATTTGCTTGAATCTGACTTCAGTTATCTGCCCCAACTGCACAATGCTAGTTACAGTTAATTAATACATCATGTATATATATTTTATATGCTGGTCCTGGGGCTTGAATTTGATGCCTTACCCTTCTTGCTCTGCTTTTGCGGTTCGTTGGTGCTCTACCACTCAAGTTCTGGCATTTTGCTGGTTAATGGGAAATAAGAGGCTCTCAGATTTGTCTACTCTGGCTGGCTTCAAATCTTGATCCTCAGATCTCAGCTTCTTGAGTAGCTAGGAGTATATCTGAGAGCCCTTAGCACTTGGCATTACTTTTAATACTTCTCTTTTTGTCAGTGCTGGTGGGGTTTGAATTCAGTGCCTCACACTCTCGCTCTACATTTTTTTTCTCACAGCTAACACTCTACCTCTTGGTCCACATCTCCACTTCCTGCCTTTTTGAAGCTTAATTGGAGATAAGATTTGTCTCAGATTTGTCTGCCTGGGCTGTGTTTTGAATCAAGACCCTCAGATCTCAGCCTTCTGAAGGGTGAGGCTTACAGGCATGAGTCACCAGCGCCCACTTTACTTTTAATTCTTGATACAAGTGTCGATTTCAAAATCAGGCGTAGAGTTGCATAGCATCTTTTTGAAGCTCATATGTTAACACTCATTTACAATAAGTTTTTCTAAGCAATTTGTAGCTGGTAACAAAATAAAGTCTAATTACCGCTCTTGTCCTGCTGTGTCCCAAAGCTGAAGATGTACTTTAAATGCTTTCCCTGAAGATCCATTTGGTCCTTGCGTATTGTAAACCTGAAAAAAAAAAAGCATGATTCTCTTCAGTTAATATTGCTCTGGATTTTGTCACATTTTAATTCCCTGGGCTCACTCAGCAAGTTTTTTTTCTTGATTACTATAATCAAAGTTCATAGTGCAGAATAAATATTTGCTCTATTTTTTCCCACAAGCATCACACATCTCTCACTTTTAAATGTCAAGTACAAGTATGGTTTTCAACACAAGTTAGGCATACTGCAAACTTAAATTAGACACCTTCTGTCATTTCCTCACGGTGATAGCAAACATCCGATTTACGATGCAAGTTCTAGGTTCAAACACCAACTCCTCATTTAACCTCTTTGAGTCTGATTTTCTTATCTGCAAGTTGGGATTCATAATTCTTTCCTACTTTTCAGAGGTATTGAAAACTTCAATGAGATAACAGGTGGGAAATAAGTTTTTAAAACAAAGATATGTGTTACAGATGCATGCATTTCTTTTCCCATGAAAGGGACTTTCAAAATGGCTTAGCTGTAAAATAGACATAATTCTGGGTGTATTATAAAAAAATCAAGTGAATAAAATGTACCCAAGTAAGCTGACATGTGACACTTCCTGGACTAGCCATTTCTTCATTGTGTTTTAAAGATAAGTTCAATGGTTTAGTGGAAATATTTTAAAGGGACATTTTGCAATGAATTATACTCAAATTCATGGGGACATAGGAGAGTACAGAAGTCAGGACAACCCGGGAGATGTTAGAAGAAAGTTGTCTTACATGGTATAGATAAGACCTATAGTTTCCCAGGAAATGGCAATCTCGTTAAAAAAAAAACTTTTTTCTCCAAAATCGTCAAAGAATGAGTAGATTTATGTCATCAACTGGAAGCCACAGCCATCTTGGCAGTCAAGAAAACCTTGGTGGCATGAAATCTGGCCAAGCTTCTGTGCCTCTGTTATCCATCTCACATGTCATAATATCCTCCTTCCTGTCATTAGTGTCTAGCATGGGAGAAGGCAGTGGCTGTGATTCTCACTTAGACTCCCTCATCTTGGAAAATAGCATGGGTGAGTCTCACATTCTGTTCATAATCAGCCGGTGATTGATGGCTGAGGCTACACATAAATAAAACGGCAGCAAGAACTCACAAAGCTCATGTTCCAGCGATTTGCCAATCATATATTTTCTTAACCCCTTTGTCAAGAGGAAGGAAATGAACACTGGGTCTTCTTGAGGAATTTAACCCAAATCAAAGAGTTAATGTTTCTAGATTCTGAGAAACTCAAACTTTGAAAGATTCCCTACGAATTCATAGGGGGCGGGAGAAGTCACATAAATCCTGAACTCGTTTATTTCAGTTGTCATGCATACTTTTGAAGACATGATTTCATGTCACTCAATATTTTTTTAATCAAAATGTTATTTATAGTGTCAATAATAATAAATAAGATTCTAAAGTTAGGTTAGGAGTTTTATACGATAAATGACAGGCACTTTGCAGCATAACAAACACAGTTCTTAATCCTTTCTTATTTTATAACAGGGATAAGTAACAAGATTAAAAGTATGGCTCAAAACTTACCACACGTTTTTCCCGGAAATCTATTCCTACTGTAGTGATGAATTTGGGATTGAATTTATTATCCGTGTATCTATAAAGAAATGTTGTCTTTCCCACCCCTGAATCTCCAAGAGCCAGGAGTTTGATCAGATAATCATAGTCTCCATCAGTCATAGTGGTGGTTTTGGTGGGCCTAAGTAGGAGAGAAAGAACAAGCAGGGTAGGATTAAGGTTCATTTCCTTTGCCTCTTACAGTACACCATCTATTGAAATTGCAGAGTTTAAAAAGAAAATCAAATGCCTCTGCTGTGCCAAATTTTGAATTAAGTTGATCAAAGCAGCTTCAGGGGTGTGGTTACATCTATCATTCTACTCACTGCAAATCTTTTGACATCGCATTACTTGCTATGCAAAAATATGCAAAAGATCTATTGCCACAGCCAGCGATAGTAAAACTTAAATGACAATGTCATAGACTTTTGTTTTACCCTTAGTTTTGCTCATTGGGATCAGGAGGGTGGCGCTGGGAAGAGGAGGGAGTTACATGAATAAAAATTCTAGTACAAGAGAAGCAAGGGTAGTAGGGAGAAACTGAAATAATGTGGATCGTGGGAATGACAAGACTCAAGGTCTATTTTGCATCTAATTCTGTGGCAGGCGTTTCTGTCATGTCCTACAAAATACTCCCTTTGTGAGTTTTAATTTTTTAACAACTCGTATGACAACCATTAGCAACACGGATTTGAAATCATTTCAAAAACAATGCTTAGAAATCAGCTTTGAAACACCAGAGTCTCGGTTGTCTATAGTCAGACCTGAATTTGGCTGCATAGTAGTGTATTTTCCAAGCACTGAGAAAAAGGCAAAGCCATTGTGAGGTAGGTTATAGTCTTTCTGCTAATACTGCTCCTTTCTGCACAGACAGATCTTGCCCTTTCTTCCAATGCACTGACCTCTGCTGAGGAAGCTTTATTTACTCTGCGAGCTTCCAGTGACTATGAGAGGTAAAAATAAGCTTAGAGCTCATGCCGCATAAACTTTTAAGAATACCAAGACATGCATTTGGAAAACACCAATATCTTTTATAAGGGACATTTCCACTGTTCAGTTTAGGAAAATGATTTTTCTGTTTGGTACAACTTTTTGTTTCATAGGTTACAGAAATGAATGTGTTTTATCCAATGCAGAGAAAGGCCTCTGAAGATTTTTCTAGGATAGGAACCTTTATTCTCATCATTAGATAAAATAAGAATATTTTCACACTTTTGAAGATGCAGAAAAGGTTTTCTTCTCCATGAATTCTTCACTTCAGGACATTGGCTACTTCTGGTAATGTTCTACTAGTAAGAAAATGATACACATAATGTACATGAACATAAATTCAAATCAAAACATTTTGACCTTGTGACTTTAGGTAATGCAGGAGGGATGCTGAATCTAACCAGCACCATCTTGTCCACGTGGAGGATGATAGAGTCTTGGGGTTAACTGGGCCATCTTGCCTTCATGGTGGAGACAGGGAATTCCCATCTCCCATGTGATGGGCATGCATAAATTCCTAGAGGAAGGGGTGGGAGCTGAACCACAGATTATTGGACCTGCCTGTCCTGGGGCATGAACTCCCATGCTCCCTGTGACCCTGCCCCTTGATCTGACCCTATTTAAGCCCAGACCAGCTCAGTGCTGGGATGCCAGGCCTTGTGTCCTGTCTCCTGTCTCCTGGCTCTTCTTTTGTCACCATGGCAGCCCACTTCAGCCTCCATAGCAGTCGTCTGGTTTGTTAGTAGTTTTTCTGCTGTTTCTTTCCTCTTTGGCTCTCATGGCTCAGTTTTCTGACAGCATTAAGTGTATGTGCAGGGCTGCTGGTCTTTGTGACAGAGTCTGCCTATATCCACCAGCTTTCCAAGAAAGACTCCCAATTTGACATCTCAAAATGTGGCTTCTCTGTTTTCTCACCATACAACAATAAGAGGCAAAGCTTAAAGGTTTTATATCTTTGAGTAAAAAGAGATGGACAAAGGAGATTGTGTTATGTTTCAAGTGCTCTGTAATGATTAATTGAGAGATTTGCAACACATGAAAAGAAATTCTTAGATTTGAACCACATTCCGGCTAAATCCTAGCAGGATTATGAACAAATGTTTCTTTCATTAATGAATGTTTTTTTGAGGTAGGCAGTTCTGAGAACTGCCAGTATCTACTTCATGCCCTTAAGTTTACCTCCCCAAGAATTCACTTTTACACTAAGAAGAACTTTCAGAGAGGGTTTTTGCTGGCTGTGAGTGTTCTCTTTTTCCTGTGCAATACCTAGAAAAAAGCAGGATCATTGCTCAGGAATCAATGTGCAGCAGCTAAGTAGACATTCTTAAGGAAAGCATACTTACTGACTGATGTGGAATTCTTGGAAAATATCTACATTTGGTGGCTGCCTAGAGGTATCTGGTTCTAAGTCTGGCTGGCTCTAAATATCTTACAGAAACTCGATAGTTGAAGATGTTTCTTTTCCCAGTCCCTGTGCCAAATGAGTTGCCAGAAGAGGTTACTGCCAAAGCATATGACGTCCCCCTACAACGGGAGCCTGTCATTGCTATCACTGCCTTCCCTCTTCCCCAACAAATTTGCTCAAGTGAAATTGTTCTTAGGATGACAAACACCTATTATTTCACTAGCAGAATTGAATCATATCGCTAATTCTCTGAGGGAAAAAAGGAAGAGCTTCCATTCATTCTAACCCAAATGAGAGTAAAAAGTCAAATTCTTCCCTAGGCACAAGGCTTCATGATGGAGGTGAATGGAAGCCACCTGCTTCTCAAGAGAAGAGAAAGTTAGAGGATAATGTGGTTCCTTGAGGGAGAAAAAGGTAAGAGGATGCATCCGATACCTAAAGTTTTGCTTAAAGGTAACTGTTGTTAAGGAATATTTTTATGACAGTATTGAGAAAGGTCACCTCTTGAGCCAGCTCAGTAAAATGCTTCTAGTTTTAGTTCCTACTGTTAGATGCAAGGATGAAAATAGAAAATATGATGGGGCACCAATGACTCATTCCTTGTCATCCTACTTACTTGAAAGACTGAGAACTAGAGGACCATAGCTGAAGGCTAGCAGCAGCAGAAAAGTTTGTGAGAACCCCGCTCAAATCATAGGTAGGCACAGTGGCAGGTGTCTGGCATCCCAAACTATGGAGAGGTTGAAATTGGGAGAACTGCAAACTTGGGTTAGTCTGGGCCAAATAGTCCATGAGAATCCATCTCAGGGGAGGGAAACTGGATGTGAAGGTGTGCATCCAGTAATGATGCAAGCCTCATGCAGGGTGCTTGCAGCGTATAGAGGTACTTGAGCTCGGGAAGGGAGGCGACATCTTAAAAATAACCAGAAAAAAACAGGGCAGGAGGAATGACTCAGTGGTAGAGGACCAGCCTCGCAAGTGCAAGGCCTTGCATTCAAACCTGAACACCACTGAAATAAAGAAAGAAAATGGAAAAGACGTAATTGCGAATCAAGCTTCTGACAAGCACGAGTATACTTAAAATTTAATCATGGACACAAGACAATGCAATATAATTTTGCAAGACAGAACATGACTGATAAATGAGTCAAACCATTACTGTGCTTTAAATTTAAAGTGGCTTTCCTGAACTGAAGTAGTCAAAGAAGACTAAGAAGACCAACCTGTATGTAATTTTATATGTATCCCTGGGAGAAATCAGATAGGAAGGGAGAGATGTAGGAGGCTCGCACTGGAGATTACTTCCTACTCACAGAATGAGACTATTAAGTACTTGCCAATTACATGACCTACCGTGTATTCCTGTCTGGCAGCCAATTACTCCTCTGGTATTCGTGAATAAGTCTGCCTAGGGCAGTACTGGGGCTGCCTCTTAGTCCAATATCTAATCCAGAATGAGCAATGCAGACTAATGTGGATCAGGTTTACTGTGGTCTACACTACCTCTTTCTATAAATGTTGGGATGTGCTACTCTGTGTCACTTAACATAAATGTCATACAAAATGAATATAAAGCTTGATACTAAAAAAAAAAGCTTGATACTGTGGGAAACCTTTATTTGGTGTCTTTAATATTTTCTACTTGATAGAGTAAGGTGTACCTTTAAGTTCCTTTTGAAAACAGCACCTCTCTCTCTCTCTGTCTGTCTGTCTCTCTCTCTCTCTCTCTCTCACACACACACACACACACACACAATTTGTATAGTGTTTTGGTATTGGTTTAGCTCCATCTTATTACTATGTGATTTTCTGAGCTCTAAGCTTGGCTTTGAAAATAAGAGCACCGAGATACCAGGTACCGGTTGCAGATACCAGGTACCGGTCCGCAGAACAGCAGATCGCCAGGAACAGAGAAACCTACCAGCCGGGATTCTCCACGAGGATCCCACCCCCATCCCTAACTCTCCACGGGAGCGGAGAGGCTCCATCCCGCCAAAGCCGCCCGGC